ATCATGTAATATTATTAAGTAGTTTCACATAATGTGATGAACAGAAAGAATGGTTATCATTTCTACCATTTCTACCATTTCTTATTATTTGTATTAGTTTTATTAGTTTAGGAAAAAGATATATAAATCCTGGCTTTTTCTCTTCTTGCTAGATAAAACTCAGACATCCCCTCTAAATACAGACAATCTTTAGTTATAAGAATATTATCTCTTGTAATTAAAGTCTTATATCGTAAATAAAATATATCTTTCTTTAAACTATATACTTTCTATGAACTGCTTTTAGTGAAGTTACATTCTACTTTTATACTACTATAATCTTGCAACAGAGCTTTATAGCTGTGTGCTTTGTTACTTGTACTATATTAAGAAGGCTACAGTCTACTTGTAATAATATATCTAATTTAAATATAGTAAGCAATTAATTCTTATACAAAATTTTCATTTAGATTATAGTAACTAACAATTATGATAGCTTTTAAAAGCATATCAAATTGACAAATTATAATATTAACAAAGTAAATTTGCATCATAAATTGATAATACAAATTATTGTTTTATTTATATCTGAATTCTTATAAAACAGCAATTATTTTTTTTGAAGATAATGTATCTATATATTTTTTAATATCAATATATCACCTAAACATTTTTATAAATATTCAAAAGTATTAAAAAAGATCACATACTGTATATAACTAAGACACTATTTTTAGTGATAAATTTTATACCTCTTTTCTAGTAAAAGTTGATAAAAGTAGTGTGAGATTTTTAGTTTTCATAAAAATGATGCCTGTTCAAAATACTACAAATAAAAAATACAATAATAAAGATGTTAAATAACATTTAACTTGAATTAAAAGTATTTTTTATCCAACTTATGATATCCATGATTTTGAAAAAAAAATATGCTCTCTGTATAGTATACTAGATTATGATCAAAGGTTAAACAATAATTTATTCAACTATTTGCTTTTATATAATCAAATCCAAGAACATTAGTTATACTCTAAAGCTATATGTAGTTATATTGCTAGGTCAACTGAAGAAACCTAATGATTTTTTACTCAAACTATACCACTATCTAAATGTACTATTTAGTTCTTTGAAACCATCTCTGGCTTTCTAAAAATACAGAAATTGGAAAAGTTTAATTCAAAAGTTATATTCAGTACAAAGAAATAACTGCTAAGCAAGTTGATATTATAATAAATAACTTATATTAGTTTTATAGAAACAGAGAGTTAGATTTTGAGTATGTTAGAAATAGAGAGACAGTATTTGAAAATATTAGTAGAGAGGACCAATCTGAAATAATTGAAATCGAGTGATGAAGATGAAATACCAGAAATAATTATAATTTCAAGTAACAAAGTTGACCAAATACCTGAAATTATTGAATTATCAAATAATAAAGAAGTGTTGTTTGAAAAAGAACAAATAGCTATTTCTAGAGATTGAACTCCTAAAACAGCTGAAATAAAATTAAATCTATAATATATTTTATCTTTGATTTTATTTTTGTATTCATGTTATTTAATTTTTGTTCTATTATAAACATTATAAGACAGATAACTCTGAAAATTAAAAATCAGAAATATTTCATAAACTTGTATGAATAAATGTCGGGGATGATGCTGAAATCGGATGATGCTGAAATTTTGACTTATTTTATTATGAAAATGTAAAATTTT